CTCTCTCGACGTCCTAGATTTACCATGAATGCTACTAATGTGTGCCTTGCTGATCTTGGGTGGCTATGGCTGCCGGTGAACCTCTCCCCTCTTGCCTGGCTATGGCTGACTGTAGCTGCCAGGTGCTCCACACGTCTCCCCCTTGCACTCCTTCGTCCAGGTCGCTTGACCGCACAAGCTCTTGCAGCGCTTCCACAATTCTGCGAAATGAACAACCGAATGCCTTCCGGCATTGTAGTTGAAAATGTATCTATCTATCTATCTATCTATCTATCTATCTATGTTGTTGCAGTGGGCTGTTTGTGCCTGCTTAATCAGTACGAGCCTCCTGCGGCTTCTGCCTTGCCATATTGCCGTTTTGGGAAAGTTCCCGACTTTCTTTGGGAGGCGGCTGCAACTTTGAACTTTAGGGACTTGACGTGCTTGCAGGTACACTGTAGCTACCGGTCTACGACCTCATCCTACAGACCCTAGGCCTACCCTGCCGGTACGATAGCCTACCGGATTAACTGGGACCGGGCCCTTTGGGGACTGACTGCTGTGTGCAATCCTTTCAGTCATGTGTGGTCAAGAGGGAGAGATATCCGGTAATGATGGCCCCCAGAATAGAAGGGGCTTTGTGTGTGTGAAAAAAGAAAAAAAAGAAAAAAAAAAGGAAATGTATAGTCATGGGTACAGGTTATGTTGGAAACGGGGTGGGCGAACCCACGAGTGGCGCAGTTCCACTAGCAAAGAGGATTGGATTTAACAATTTTGACTCCTGAGTCTGGATGTGTTTGTGGGAGAGGTGCAGAAAACTGTGTTGGATCTGCTCTTCTGCAACTCGGCTTAAAACCCAAACCCATCAAGATGCAGGCGCTGAATCCAATCCTATTGGCTAGGCCACTGAAATATGGTCCGGAATGTTCTGAAGTAAGAACTAATTACGATGGAGAAAGAACTACCGTCTTCGCCCCGTCATTATAGGTGCATTTGGGGCAACTTTCAGCCCAGATGCAGCCAGCGGTAAGGACCGAGGCGTCCTATTTGGGTGAAGACAGTAATTAACATGTGTGCCTGTGTACTGAAATTGGAATGTGGAACATGCAGAGAAGATTAGCGGTAATGACCTCATCCTGATGCATTAGGACGCGGATACTCACAAATCGAGAAATACTCTAAAAGATTGAGTGCTGTCTGTGTTGGCTGGTGTACTGTGTAGGGCCATGGACGGGAGTGGGTGAGTAACTATGGATGGGCTGAATCATCACAGTGAAGCATCCCTCATCTGCTCTGATTACATAAGCGTGTACCCTCTCTCAGTTCTATTTCCACTTTTTGATTAGAAATGCAGGTGTGGACATTCTTCGTAGCAAGATGCTAGATTCACAGCAGACTGAGCAGCGTGAGGAAGTGGTACCTTGGGAGCAGAGTAGTGTCATCGCAGGGGTTGAGATGGACATATTCAGCTCAGTAATCGCTGTGTCTAGGATGGAGGAATAGGAGAACTGTTGGGTGGAGAGAGAGAGAGAGAGAGAGAGAGAGAGAGAGAGAGAGAGAGAGAGAGAGGAGGAGGAGGAAAGGAAGAAGACCAAGATGATGATGATGATGATGATGATGATGATCAGTGGATGGTTGTAACTGTGATTGTCACTGTGTGGCTGGCAGGTTGTGGGAATGCTAACGGGAGTGTGCACTCCAGTTTGTCGTAGAAATGTCATGGAAGGATCGCTGTTGATCTCTCCCTAATCTCACAGGGTAGATTCTTTCATCCGGATCAAGTGCAACACACCTCTGGGGAGGCAGTAGTGGCTAGGCCACATGGCTCAGGTTGATTGGACGGTGGGCTGATGTGGAGAGCTGCAGTTGGTGACGAATCGCCACAGCTGGCACATTTGGTTTTCGGAGGAACGAGTGTTACATCATGGTTGTCCTTCGGTCAAGGACCCAACGTGCTGCGAGGTCTGGTGATCGTCCTCCCCTTGCTGCTCTGAATGGCTCTGGTAGACCTCCTAGACAACCTACTACAGCACACACTGTTGCTGTATCGAATGGCAGAGCAGGCCAGGTTACGAAAGATCGTCGAGGAAGAGGACGACGAGGGGGAGGAGGAGGAGGAGGAGAGAATGAGATGTGCAAGGAAAATGGTAAAGCTAAGGATGACAAAGGGAACAAGTCGTCTCGCGTTGTTGTTTTTCCATCGTCATCGCCGTTGTCCTTGGACAAATCTAGCTCCAGTGCAAAGGAGGAGGGGGGTGAGGAGGAGGAGGAAGAGGACGAAGGTTTGGCGGGCAGCAGTGATGATCCAGACTTCATGGAGGAAGGAAGTGAGTCCAGCGACGAGAGCGGGTTGGAAGCAGAAGCAAACAAAATGGACGAAGGGGCGATGGAACTAAGTAGTGATTCAGAGAAGGAAGGAGGAGAAAAGAGCAAAGAAGTGGAGAGGAGGGGCAGCAGGGGGGGAAAGAGGGGGAGGAGACCTGCTGGAAAGGTGGTTGATGGCATGGAGCTTGAGTTAGAGTCAGAGTTGAAGGAGGATATCGCGGAAGATGGGGAAGAGGACGAAGATAAGGACGAGGAAGAGGGAGGAAGAAATCGAAGGAGGGGGGGGGTGAGAGGACACCGGAACAGGAGGAGGAAGGAGAAGACTTCTCCAAACCCGCGGAAGAAGAAACAGAAACAAACATGGGACTGGGAGCAGGATATGGTCGTGGCGTCAGAGGAGGAGGAGGAGGAGGAGGAAGACATTGTGGCAATGGATAGAAATAATGATGGGGAAGAATCTCTGGTAATCAGTAATAAGAAAGGTCAGCTGAGGCACGAAACACCATGTGAGATGATGATGCCTCTTCTTCCATTTCAACAAGAATGGCTAGCCTGGAGCTTGAAGCAGGAAGAGTCCGACATCAGAGGAGGGATCTTGGCTGACGAGATGGGAATGGGAAAGACCGTCCAGGCAATCTCCCTCATTGTAGCTTCCAACTCCTCTGGAGGAGGAGGAGGAGGAGGAGGAGGTGATTGTGGAGGGAAAGATGACCCTGAAAGGTGTGCAAAAGCTGTGGAAAATGATTCGACGTTGACCCAGAGACGAGGCCGATTTCGTCAAGGGCCTTCTGTCCGAGTTGCAGACCTTGATGGCCAGCAGCAGCAGCAGTCAGTGCCGGACCCGATCGCGGCCCCGTCGCCACCACCTCTCCCAAGGGTGAAGGCCACCTTAGTAGTCTGTCCCTTAGTCGCTGTCACGCAGTGGAGGAGCGAGATTGCCAGATTCACAAAGCCGGGAACACTGAAAGTGCTTGTCTATCACGGTCCCAAAAGGGCGGTCAGCACCACCAATCTCTCCCAATTCGACGTTGTTCTTACCACCTATTCCATAGTCGAGGCGGAGCACCGGAAACTGACGTTCGGTAACAGGGTGGCATGTCAGTGGTGCGCGAAGAAGATGTTGCCTGAGCGGCTGATAATACACAACAAATACTTTTGTGGACCTTCGGCAAAACGGACCGGAAAACTGTCAAAAACGTTCAAAAAAAAGGTTGGCCAAACAGCGACTGCTTCAACCTCCAAACAGAAGAAGCAAAGGGACAGCAAGACCGTCTCTTTTGCAGACGAAAAGTCGAAAGCAAAAGGCGGTGGTAAAACGCGGAAAACGAGGGTGACTACTCGTGACAAGCGGAAGCATGCTGCTTCGGCATCTTCTTCCGAAGTCGAAGCCGAAGTCGAGGTCGATGTCGATGATGACAGCGACAATGTTGGCATGCAAGATGAGATAGATAGCGATGATGACGGTGATTTTCAAGACGATGATTACCAAGGATCAGACAGTGGTGGTGGGAAGAAGGAGGTGTCATGGAAGACGAACGAACAGAACGACAAGAAGAAGAAGACGGAGACGAAGAAAAACAAGAAGAAGAGCAAGAGAGGAGAGAAGGAAGAAGAGGAGGAAGAGGACGATGAGGAGGAAGCAGTGGAGCCCAGTCGTAGGAGAAGGCGTGGTGGTGGTGTCACTGCTGGTGCCTTGTCGAAGGCTCTTGCCGCCGCAGCTGAGCATATAGACAACAACACTCCTGCTGCAGCGGACAGCAGTGGCGGCGGCGGCGGTGGAGGAGGAGGAGGAGGAGGAGGAGGAGGAGGGAGAACGGGTTTCTCCTCTTTCCTTCATTCGTTTCACTGGAAACGTATCATACTCGATGAAGCTCATAACATCAAGGATAGGAATCGCAACACGTCCAAAGCTATTTTTGCATTGGAAGCAGATCACAGATGGGCGTTGAGTGGAACCCCATTGCAGAATCGAGTGGGAGAGCTCTACTCACTCGTCCGCTTCTTGCAAATCATGCCCTTCTCCTTTTACTTTTGCACAAAGTGCGACTGTCAATCTCTTGACTACAGGTTCGGTAATGAATGGAGGAAGTGCGATTTGTGTGGGCACTCGCCGCTCAGTCACTTCTGCTGGTGGAACAAGTACGTAGCCAACCCAATCAAACGCCTAGGCTACGTTGGCGATGGGCGTAAGGCGATGACCATCCTGAAGCGAAAGGTGTTAGACAGGGTGCTTTTGCGCAGGACAAAGGTGGAGAGAGCTGCGGACTTGGCCCTGCCGCCAAGGATGTCCTTCCTACGGAAAGATCCATTCGATGAACGGGAAGAGGACTTCTACCAAGCACTCTATATGCAGAGTCAGGCGCAGTTTAATTCGTATGTGGATGCTGGGGCCGTGCTCCATAACTACGCGCACATCTTCGAGCTGTTGATCAGACTCCGACAAGCCGTCAACCACCCCTACTTGGTTGTGTATTCGAGGACAGCAGGAGCAGCAGGAAAGGGAGGTGGAGGACAAGATGGGCAAGCATGTAATGGGAAAGCGGAGAAGGGTGAGGATGAGGAGGAAGAGGAGATATGCGGCATCTGCCGCGATCCGCCGGAGGACGTAGTCATGACAGCTTGCCAGCATGCGTTCTGCAGGCGCTGCATCATGGAGTATGTGACAGCAGTGACAGGCGTCAGTGACTTGGAAGGTGACAAGGAAGACGGAAGTCGGCCGCAAGCCGCAACAGCAACAGCAGCTCAAGGAACGTCTCCTATCCCCACAACAGCTGCCGCTCATCATCATCCGCAATGTCCAACGTGCCGCCGTCCGTTGACAGTTGATCTCTCTCGGCATGCCAATGGTAATGCAAATGAGAAGTCGTCGACAGCAGCAGCAGCAGCAGCAGTCTCAGCTCACAGTGTGAGAGCAGGACGAGGAGCTGGAGTAGTAGGAGTAGGAGTAGGAGAAGGAGGACCTCAACCTGCATCGGGTAGTTTCCGCAAGAACAGCATCTTGACACGGATTAGTAACTTGAAAGCATTTCGGAGTAGCACGAAGATTGAAGCGCTTCGAGAGGAAATCTATCATATGCTCGGCAAGGATCCATACGCAAAGGCGCTCGTCTTTAGCCAATTCACGTCGATGCTTGATCTGATCATGTTCCGCCTTCATCAGACCGGCATCACTTGCGTCAAACTCGATGGCGGCATGTCGATGGAGACCAGGGACAAAATGATCAGCAGTTTCAGTAACGATCCTGAGTGTCGAGTATTTCTCATGAGCTTGAGTGCCGGAGGAGTCGCGCTCAATCTCACCGTCGCGTCTCATGTCTTCTTGATGGACCCTTGGTGGAACCCTGCCGTCGAACAACAGGCCCAGGATCGAATCCACAGAATAGGACAGCATAAGCCGATCCAGGTAACGCGATTCATCATCGAGGACACCATTGAGGAAAGGATTCTCAAACTGCAGGAGAAGAAACAACTGGTTTTCGACGGCACGGTGGGTGGATCGAATGAAGCGCTTGGCAGGTTGACAGAAGACGACATGCGCTTCTTGTTCTCAAACTAGGTTAGTAGAACAAACCAGGTTAGTACTACTGTCTTCTCACCCCAACAGAACGCCCGGTCATTATCGCTGCATCTGGACCGAAAGATGTGCCAAATACAGCGATAATGACTGGGGCGTTCGATAGGGGTGAAGATGGTAGTTACTGCAGGAGAAGAGACAACTGCCTTTCAGTGGAGGGACTGTGAGTGGATCGAAAGAAGCGCTCGCTTGGCAGGTTGATCGGGGTTAGTACTACTGTCTTCTCACCCCAACAGAATGCGCGGTCATTATCGCTGCATCTGGACCGAAAGATGTGCCAAATACAGCGATAATGACTGGGGCGTTCGATAGGGGTGAAGATGGTAGTTACTGCAGTAGAAGAGACAACTGCCTTTCAGTGGAGGGACTGTGAGTGGATCGAAAGAAGCGCTCGCTTGGCAGGTTTGATCGGGGGGGGCGAGATGTCTTTTTTGTTCTCAAACTATACTTGCTAGGTTCAGCTAACCAGGTCAGTCCTATAGACTGGACTGCAGGAGAAAATAGACAACTGGCTTTCAGTGGATTGAGTGGATCGAATGGAGCCACTTGGCGAGTTGACAGAGGAGGACATGTTTTTTTTCTCTTGTTCGGAGGACGTGTTTTTTTTCTCTTGTTCTCAAACTAACTAGGTTGGTTGGTTAGCTCCCAAACTATCTAACCTAGGCTTCTTTTTTTTTTTTTTTTTTTTGTTTGTTTGTGGGTGGGCGATGATGTTGACTTGATGCTAGGCAATCACAGCAATTACAAACCTAGGCAAGTTACTCAAACTAACATAGGTGGTGACAGTTAAAAAGTTAAGCCTGAGATATTAGTACAGAAAGTAGGAACCCAGGCTAGTTCTCAGACTAAACTCAGGTTAGGACTTGCTAGGAGGATAAACCGGGGTTATGACTTAGGTTGTTATTACCACATAACTTTTTCCACTGCTATTGCTTTTGCTATTGCTATCACCACTTGATGGCACAGGTTTTGAAAATATGTGTTTCTTCATGTCTTGTGCAAGCAGGGAGAGAGGAAGTTCTTTCGCATCTGATCCGTTTACTACAAGGGGGGTCTCTGTTTAAGGAATGCCGTGGCCAACTTTTTTACGTAACAATTCTCAATCGGCCGTTGTATACACCATCAGATTTCCTTGCAATTGCCCTGCAGCTTGATGTTGATCTGGCTAATCTCGCTGATCCCCCCGACCTA